AGCGGATCTGTATCGATACGAATGCTATCTTAACTGTCGTTTGTTCGTCCGCTTTGCTACACATAACGGAAACAATACTCGATACGCCTTTTCGTGAGACGTGTGAGTAAGTTTGTGAGTAATTAAGTACCGGAATGAAGATTGATTAACTACACGCGGATGCTCGTTAAGATCTCATCGCTTTTGTATTGCGAGTTTGTCGAAAGCTCCTCTCGCCAGCTCGTGTTTTTGCGGCCACTTAGGACTCAAGGAAGATGTTAATGTATGATCGAGGAGAGCATAAAAATGAACAGCTGTAAATGGTAGATTTAGTTGCAAAAAATTAATATCATAAATATAATTCTAATAAATATAAATCTATGATGCAATTGAAAAATTAGGTCGTATCTCTTTCTTTTTGCTTATTTTTAATATAAAATTTTTACTATCTTTTGAAAGCTATTAAAAATATTTTAATATATATTTTTGTACTATTTTTATTAATATTTATTTAATTTATTTAAGCGAATATAATTCGCCCTAAATTTTCCAAAGAATTTATAGTTGAAAAATATGACAATACATAGTTCTTGAATATCACATACACATTGTTATCTATGCGATGAGAAAACAATAAAAAATAGTACGCATAAAAAAGGCGTTTTTCGATGATTGTGTTTTCAACAATTCGTAGCGCAGTATTTGCGGTTGGGAGATTAATTCAGCCAGGCTCTCAGCGAGCGGTACGTGACAAACGCGAAAATTAAAAGCCCCATACTCGCCGGTTACGTCGTCGAGCATTTTGTACCTCGGGATTAATCGCCAAATACAACTCGCAACCCGGTACTTCTAGACAAGTCACGCTCGAGACCGCGAAAGGCGGATAGAATTATGTTAGCCTTATCGCTAACCCGCGCGTTCCCGTTTCCAAGTGATACGTACTTTTATCTACGATCCGCCCGCCTGAAATTGCGGGTGGAAGAAAAATAGCGGCGGAAGAAATTCCGCAATGTTAGTGTGTCGTACAACGACGGCTATGGGTGGGACGCGCGAGCGGTTTCCCGCCGGGATAAGTGTCCCGGGCGAATGAGAAATTTCCGTGGGAATTTTAATTGAGCTTCTGACGACTGAAGCGCAATAAGCGCGTAGGAGTCCTGGTGAGCTCTGTGCTTCCGGCTCGTGATATCTCGTCCGTTACTGCCCGAGAGTAAAAGCAGTTTTCGCGCGCAGACTTTGCGTAATTTGCGTAAATATGTTTTTATGCGTTCGTCAACACCGACGTTTTGCTATAGTTTTTCATTCGAATGTTTTTACCTCATACTCGCTTAATTTCGATAAATTCAACAAACATTTTTAACTTTTCATTCTTCCATATTAATCGTTATATCTCTTATGATTAGTATAATTAATATTATTAGTATAATCATTAAATTTATATTCTTCAAATCAAGTCTGTTAATACTTATTACTATTTAAATTGAACTTATTTTATCGATAAATATCGTATTTTTTTATATTTTCTTCATTTTACATAATGTTTCGCAAAATCTAAATCTTAAGAAACATTTAATAAAAATCTTTTTGTATTTATCTAAATCTAAAAAGAATTGTTTTGTATTTGAATTTATTTAAATTTGTATTTGTATTTATTTAAATTTGAAAAGAGAATCTTTTTTGTATTTATCTATAATGCGAGATATTATATTTTCCTTATCATTTTAAACACAACTTTGTGAAGACGTCGAACGTTTTTTGATATGTGTGTTTACTCCAGATGCTTCAACAATTTGTTTTGCAGTCATCTGCGAATTTAATACCACTTTCAAAATTGCTCGTTTTTCACAAGGTGTTACCACTGCAGGTCGTCCTAAATTATCTTTTTTCCACCATATTCTATTTTTTAGATTTTTAAATATTTTGATAACAATTTTTCTTGTTTTTACATACTTAAAATACAGCATATTTTGCAATTATATAACAAAGATAACTAAAAACATGTTAAAAAATCTGCTAAGCTATTTGATGGCATCTCGTTTTTTTCTTTTTTTTATATACGCTTGGTATTAACTGCATATATTTTAATAATGCCAATTTTTTATTATTTAAAATTGTTTTATTCTCGATGAATAAAATATAATAAATTTATTTACATAATTATAATTGCGATTTGTCTTTATAATAGTAACATATATTAATGACATAATAGTGACATATATTATTATAATACGCATTGATTTTATTTTTTTTTATGTACACACGATAATATAGTATCTCTAATTCATATTGGTGCATCTGCATCGTGTGTATGACAAATCTTACGCAATACAAGATGTTTACGATACGTCGTTTTTATTTGAGATCCTCGGTAGGAGGATATAGCTTGCCCAGAAAAGAGTCGTCAACTAGCCAACCTTTACTCTCCGCCGTCGGCGACCGCGTCAAGTGCAAATTGCAGTAGATTCATCCGATCTGGGTCAGACCCTCCCTGCATGGGTTGCCGGAACTGCGACCTGAGCGCTTCACGATTAAAACGAATCCACGAATGTGGCAGATCTATTGAACAGGTTTCCCTGCGCGAGAGCAGGGTCTTCTTTCTCTCATCGTCAGCCGGGGAGCTTCATATCGCGCTGGGAATCATACTTACTCCGGGATCGAGCTTCTTGATTTACGATCTGAAATATGAGGCTGTACATAGCCTTTTATGGGGCTCAAGCTATATAATATAATATATATATAAAGCTCGGATCTTTTCATACGTGCGAGACTTGCCTCGCGAAACTGTTTCGCGGAATCTCAACGAGGGACTTTGTGCAGTATAATGCCGATTTAATGGGCGGGCTGAAGCAGCACGCGAAACACAAAGAAAGTTATCACGGGCAAATTTTACAGTTGCAATTAAATTATAATTGATCCTTAACTTATACACGAGACGAGGAAAAGTCACGCATGTAATACGAAAGCGAGGTCATTGACGTATTGAAAATGAAAATGTGTGTGTATAGTAATAAAATATTTGGAATATCTGAAATATATATACATATATCATTCCGCCCTTGTTATGGATTTTTTGATTAATTTGAAATACTGAAGACATCTGGAACGACTCTATGTTGATGTATACAGTTATGACAAGTATCTCGTTGCAAAATTGCATTACAATAATTAAATTGATATCCCATTAAACTGATTATTCATAAATAGCGAAATATATATCTCGATATGTGCGATGGATATCTGCGAATGCCAATTAGTTTAATCGAGTCAAGCGTTCACCTTCTGACGTGCGTCACGTGCGAAACGAAAGCATAATATAGTCGACAATGCGACGTTCGTTTACAAATGTTATGCCGAGACGATGAAATCGCGCGATATACATTATTTATGCCGGTTTATTCGATTATGGCACGTTTGACTAGTTTTTTGCGCCAACTGTCAGTCGCTTTATATTATGTTGATAAAGTGTTGGGTCTTTCAATTTACTTATTATCGTAATTCGTTTGTCAAAAAGTCGGTCGTTCGAAGACATAACGTGAGTGACATGATCAATCTATCAAATTATACACTATACTAAAAGAAATTTTTGGAGAAAACTATTCTTTTTAACCATAAGGTTTTATAGAATATCATATATGTGAAAGTTTTTCTTTCTAATTCTTGTTTACGTCATCCTAAATTAACGAATCCATTCTTTAAAAAGGCATGTGAAATTGATTAGTCGAAAGTATCAAAGTTTTCTCAAAAATATTGAAGTTTATTGTTGCCTTTTATCCAATTAATTCTTTCACCGTGCTTGCTTCATAAGTAGCAGTCATTGCCGAGATTGCATATTTTAACAATTCAAAGAAAATTAATATGAATGTGAATGATATTCTATTCGATTATTGTGCGCAAGTTTAATATATTAATTAAAGAAAATAAATACGCGATAGCTATGCATCTACAATATTTGTATGCAAACAGAGTATTACAATTATGTGTTGTAACTCAAATGGCATTCTTCGATATTAATCAATGTACTAATTAATTATGAAGCATTAATTATATATGGCTATACTGTAAAGTAACATTCGTTTTTATGTATTGTGATGTAAATGGAATGCGCTATATAAAATGCAAATTTATTCTACGCTCTATAGAGTATTATTTATATCCTAATATTTATTATAAATACAAATATATTACAGCGAGCGCATATATATATATATATATATATGTGTATATTTATGTATAACCATATCATAATCAATATTAAAAATAAACTAATAAATAACTTAATCGAAAGCTTACATCGAGATTGTACAAGAAACGTACTGTTAGATTTCCAATTTTTTTCTAGAGATATTTTAATTGAAAACATTTGATACATAAAAAATCCGGATAAATTACTTGGTAGCATCTGGATGATATGCCGTGAATGGCACGTCATCAGTCGTTTTTTTATAATACTTGTCATCATGACGCTACCACATTGCTTGATTTTAGAGATGACAGAATTGTGTTACTGTCGAAATGATCGAAATAATATACCTGTATTCTTTGCATACATTTTGAAAAGTGAAATATCAAAAGTGGCATGTACAAGTATGTATTGTACTAAGTAAGCTGCATTATTCATATATTTATTGACATTACGCTTGCGTATTTTCCCATAGTTTATTACTTTTAGGCCATTTTAACCCCAAGCGCATTATATAATAAAATTTTCTCTCTAATTTGCTTATTTATTAACTGTAAAGAGAGCTTATTTGCAAGGCCGCAAAATTGCTCCAATTACCATCCTTTGTAGCGGCGATCCGGGACACTTCCTCTACGTCAATTATATTACATCGTACTCTGAGGTCGAGGGTTTAGTTGATTATCGTTGCGCGTACAGAATATCACGTTCGACTTGCCGTTGGCTTCGAGGAGCAAGAATATTATGCGGAGAAATGTACAAAGAGCGAGAGCCAGTGCGATACGTTTATAATCGTTTGATGCGAAGACACGGCAATTTGTGCCGTATGTACGCGCTTATAATGGAGCACATTTATATTCAGCGAAGAAACAAGCGTATCACAAGCGTTCCCCTTGTCGTCGTCGAAACAGCGGTTTATATGGTTTCAAAGGTTTGTCGGGATGGTTAATAGCGACAAGGCTTTAATACGCGTATTTCCGTAGAATTTCTCTACTCACAAAAGAAAATCCAATTAGCGACGTATGGCGAGTGCTGACGCAACCCGTGTATTTCCCTTTACGCGCGTTCATTATCATAGCGCAGTCCATTAATCGGGTTATCAAATGTGGTGAGGTCGATCGTTAACGTCCATCCTTATTCGACATCACCATAAATCCCGCCGATCAAATTACGTGTCGTGGATAATGGGCATTTACGATAATAATATATATATTAATATATATATATATATAAACGCGATAGCTTTTGTTAATTACATGTCGTACGTGCATTTGTACCGGATTTATAATTTACACGTAGTGTCGTCTGTTATTATAAATAGACAAATCGTGCATAAACATATTGTTTATGTATATGTGATACTGTATAATGGACTACACTGCAATGAATATGCTAATCATTGACGCTGATGGAAAGCCGCTGTTGAATCAAAGAAAGATAAGCATGAATTTGATTTATAATAGTGCCATATTTTATGTGACGCCCTTACAATGCAGAAAAGACGAAAGGAATTTCCGTGATACATAGCGATGTGACATTTCTTATCGTTTCACAACAAAGAAGGCAGAGAGACGCCTTCCATCGAGCGTCAGCCAACTTTCGGTTGACTCTCTTTCGTGAAAGCAGTATCTCTCTCGAAGCGCGTTTTAAACTGTAGAAAAAAAAAAAGATTTTATGTCAGCTACTTGAGTATGATGTCGACATGACGTTGCTTTTTAAATATAAAATGCGAATTATTAAAAAGGAACGCAGCTTACTCTAATTCTTTTGCCGATATTTATAGACTAGAGAAATAAATAAAGTGAAAAAATATAATTGTCAGAAATTATTGCATTAATATTGTAAAAAATAACATTTTTTTAACAGTTACTGTTTCTACTGCTTTTATTACTGTTATTATTTTTTATTGTTGCTATTATTCTATGTCAGAAGCACTCGACAAAATCTTATACGAATGGACCTGCGTTTAAGGATTGCTTCTCACGCGAACGGACGAGTCTTTTATAGAACTCTGGATTTTCATCAAGCCAGATAATCTTAAAGAAGAACTTTATTGGACAGTCAGAATAAAAGGAAAAATGATCTATGTTAATAAATATAATACAATCTGATTCAAATTTTACTTTTACTTAAGAATACAAAAATATTGCGTTATGCAATTTGAACTTTAACATATCTTTGAAAATGTTTGACGCAGGAAATTGATGGATTACGCTTTTATGCAATTCAATATTTATTTTTCCAAAAAATATTGCAGTGTGCGAGAGCAGTACGCAAATATTGTACAATATTCATAACTGTATTTAGCTAACAAAATAAATGTAAATTGATATGAGTAACACGCAACTCTTTTTTGCAAATTGTTGATATCAATAAAAAAAGAAAGAAAAAAGAAAATTTGATTTTACGTTTAATACGCACATATAATGTATTAACTAATTTTATAAATTAATAAAAATCTAATTATCTCGTATTATAACGCTCGAATAACAACTTTATAATATTTAATTAAAGCACTGATCATATTATTCGCGGATAAGCATATTTTCAATTACGTAATGTAATTTAATTTATAATTTCTACATAAACCTATATCATGCTCTCTTTATATGAATTTTGGACATATTATTATTATATATTTGAAATAATCTTTCAATAGTTTGAGAATTAAGATTTTTGTTTAAAATAAAGATCTGAATTCACAGATGAAAATTGATTCTCTCAAGAGAATCCAAGTATTATGAATCAAGTATTGCGTCTTGATGTCGAGAAAAGCTTGCGGCAATAGTGCATCGTGTATCTCACGAGAAGGAGGAAGCCACTCGATGCGGCGCCACGGCTGAGAGGAAGGAAGCGATCTTATACGATCTCCCAGATCATTTTTCAATGCACAATGCTACGTAAAGATGCGCCGTCTATTAATACGTAATCGGTTTTATGACATTGCGAGTCATCGTGAAATGCCATTTGGAACTCGTGCCGACTCTTGCAAAATATAAAGCATATATAATACAATATAATTCTGTCAATATAATTCTACTTATTTTAAACGAGATATTATTATTGCGCCTCTATTAAAAATAGAGAGAGGAAAAGAGATAATAAAATCTTAATTAAATAATTTTTTTTTTTAAATATTGCTGTATTAGAATGTTTGTAAACATTTTGTTATTACATTATAACATTTATTTTTCTAAAGAATTCCGGAATGATTCTGCCTCTCTCCCTTTCTTTTGCATATGCACGCAAAATGCTAAGAGTTATTAGCTATTCATATATAAATATTGAAATTTGCATGTCTAGTAAACATTAAAGGTGAGTGTTTATTGTAAGTCAAATAGTTTCATGTTTCTATGCTAAAATCTAGCTTTGATAAAAATAGCTGTCTTTATTTTATTTATAATAATGTCTATAAGAATTTATTTATTTATACGTCGGAAATATTTTATTTTTATAAATACACCGTATAGCTATTTTTGTGTGTTTATTCTCGTAAGTATCCTCTGATTTCAAGTTCTTTTTTTTCTTTAGATCATTTTATGTATAAATAAAACTATATTGCGTTAATATAATTTAAATGCGAGTTGATATTATCCGTATTTATTATCTACTTATGTTCAAAATTTATTTATTATTGCATTTTTGAACGCCTCTCTATGCGACATTTATCTTACTGTCTCGGAAGTGTATCTTCAGCCAGCATCTGTATTCGCGTCGGAACCGGAACCAGGCGCGGATGTACGCATGTATGTATGCGCGGCCGCGTGTAAGCAGAGCGGGCCGGTATATAAAAGCCTAGAAAATACGCTGGTAAGTTGCAGTTCTCATCTGGCCGTCTGAAATACCGTAATGGTGGAGATGACTTTCAAGGTAGAGTGTCGAAACTCATCGCGAAAGAAGGAAAAGTGACGCGGCGCGGAGAAAGTGCTCGTTAAAGAATAACTCCGCGACATTCGGACGAGAAGACAGATAGGGGACAGTAAGAAAGAAAGAGAGAGAGAGAGAGAGAGTGAGAGAGAGGAAGAGTGAGTGAAACGTAAAGGGAAATTCTCAAAAGGGAATAAGCGAGGGGCGCGACGAATTCTTAATTGTTTCGTAATTACAAAATGTAATTGGCGCGCGCAAGGGTTGATGAAATAAATAATTCGAGATGAGACAGAAGGAAAAGTAGCTTTATGCGGTCCGTCGAAAACCAACGCCAACGTCGTGAATATAAGATGGGATTAAAGCGTTCTTTAATATTCGGATCTGCTTGATGTAATTAGTTCGTTTAGACGAGAGTCGTGTCGCGAATGTACGTTTTTACAAAAAGGTAAAAATTCTGGGGTTAAACTTCATACAAAAGAAAATTAAAAAGTGCATATTGATCTATGAAAAACGCTTTTTTAATCAAATTAAATAATTATTTTTTGTCTTCAAATTTTTTCTCTTAACATAAAAGCTTTTATACTTTTTTTTCTATTAAAACCAAGAGTTCCATTATTGTTTTATGTACATGAAATATATATTTTTATGTATATTTTTCTTTTATATACATTTTTTAAACAAACTCACGTTTTGTTCCAACTATATAGAAAATATTGATATGATACTGCAGAATTTTTTAATTATGCAATAGTAATAATTATCTTAAAAAGTATTCATATATTAAACTTTTTTTTTGAATTTTGCACGAATTATGATGTAACATATATGTTTGATAAATATTTAATGATACATTTGGTATACATAACACTACACAGTTACGTAAAGTATGCAAAATCTTGTGCATCTTAACATACATATATTCCATCTTTTTGCATATATTGTACTATATTTCTAACTTAGACGTGTATTCATAAGCAGTAGTGCAAGTTGTATTTCTACATGCATAAACAATTGTTCTAACATTGTCTATCCCCGTTGTCAGTTCTCACAAAATTTGCATAAAATAACTTTACAATTCGTGATTCGCGGTTTTATTTGTATCGCATTATTAATACACTTCAAATCTCGAGTATTTATTTTTAACTATCTACGAATATAATGCTTGCACCGCAGATATATTTTTCAGTCTTTTAAATTGAACGAGATACTGTAACAATTTTTTCACGTTTATCTATAAGTTAAAAAAACGCAAATATCGAGAAGCGAGAAACGTCGATTATAACGAAGACATGGAGGTTGCTAAAGCGTACAAGTAAGGACGAAGAAATCTTTCCTTCATCACGTCTATTCTGCCTTTTCAATCGAGCCACTTCAATCGGACCGGTTCGTGTTGGTTTGAACGTTGACGGCCGAACTCTCGGGACCCTTGTAATTAAAAACGAGAGGTCGACGAACTTTTTCTCTCGCGAGAGATATGTCGATATATCGTAAATTTCTAGAGTTTCATCATGGCAACGAGTGAGTTTGTATACACAGGCAACATCGATTGCGTATAGATCACGGTTACATTTCAGTGCAATTTCGATTCATCGAACATTCTATTAGTTTAAAATGTTCCAATTTGTTTTGGCCATTTATATATACGCATGAAAAAGTATTTGACTAGAACGGGTAGAAAAATATTTAAATTACAATCTCTTTTTCGCACTCGACGATTTTTTACCGATTTTTTATCCAGGTATTATATTTCACAAAATATTGTCCAGAAAAACTTTTTCTCTAAACAAGATATGAATCGAAAAGAAAGAGAATCCTGATAAATATAACCGGTACTTACGCGTAGATTAACTCAACGGTTTGTGCGGTAACATGCTATTTACGTCCATGATCGATAACTCGATCGTGGAGAATCGAGAGCGTGCCATTCCGTGCTGGAGGTGAATCTCCGGGACGACGTGACGATGGTCGTCGACATAAACTTCTTGTGTCATAGGTCACCGTCGCGCTAACCATCGGCCTCGCCCTGGTCAATCGATCAATCACCGGCGTGATACCGCTGGACATCGGCGCACACCACGATCATCGCCTCTCGGTGGCCAGTTCGTACATGCACTTCCACGGGCCGGTGCAGGGCCCGGAGTACGAGGTGAAAGTGCCGCACGTTGTTGTCGACCACTTTGGCGAGCACAATTATTTACACGGCCAGGACCATCAGGAGCATCGTCATCATGACGGCTACACGGTCGATTACGTGGGGAATCCCAAGTACGAGTTCTCGTATGGCGTCGAGGACCATCATACCGGCGACTTTCACGGCCAGAAGGAATCCAGGGACGGTGAGTCAGTCACTTTTACGCCTTCGTGACTTTTGCGCGGGAATGACAACGGCCTCTGGGATGCTGGGGGGCTACCTGTGGCGTCGTTTTACCCGATTTCCACCGTGACGCGCTGATGTCGGCAAAAATTGCTACGGGTGAAAAGAAAATTGCATTTCCGCGATGGCTGCTCGCGAACGCGCCCTCCTGAGCACGTGAGTCTGTATGTACGAATGCGAGTTGCGTATATATGTGTGTGTGTGTGTGTGTGTGTATACGCGTCGACACTCTTCAGTTGAAACTACATTTTCTCACTTGGAAACGTGAAGTTGACTTGAAGAATCGTAAACTGGCGTCAACGGCACGACGGTATGATGTCGCAGTTATGTGTATAAGAGTTCTGTATAAAGGTATAAAGTTACCGAAAGTCAGCAAACTTTACAGGTGTATTTCTTGACCAAGTTGGAGTCAATTTTTCCTCAATGAAAGTATGGAAGTATTATATATTCGAGCTATTTCCGAGTTATACATGTGCGATAGAAAGTAAAAGATTCTACAAACACCTCTAAAAAGTTTAAATAAGTAAAAGAACCCTAGCCTGCATTTTAATTTTAATTTTAATTTAAGTAAACTTTATTTATATAAAAAGAATTTTAATTTTCAAATATCATATAATGTTCAATATTACACACACACATATATATATATATATATATATATATATATATAACGTTAAATTAAATAATATACTAAAAATATATATACGTATGTATACATCTCTTCAATCGGGATCTTTTTTCCCAAACAATTGGTTTTATCTATTATCCGAAAGAGAAGCACATCTATGAAACCAATGAACACAATGTGGTTTCTGCTTTTATAAAATATTTTTTTATATTTTGCTGTGTTTTTGTTAACAAATTTTTGTTTGAAAGAACGAAAAGAACAAAGCCGTTATATAACATTTATAAATCGTTTTGATTATGACATTATGTTACTTATCGAAGCGTAAAAAAAAACTCGTTAAAAATGGGATTTTTTCACAGTCGAAAGATAATTGTCGATACTATTACATTAATGACATCTTCGATGTTTCGCCACCCTGTCACGATCGTCCGCAATCTAGAAGAAAGAATTGACAGATACCAGTCGGTGTCTTTTTATCAAATGTCTTCCTTTTTGCAGGAGGCAGCGTGTCTGGAGAATATAGCGTGAAAGATCCAGGTGGCACTTTCCGGGTCGTCAGCTATCACGCGGACAAGGAGGGATTTCACGCGGTCGTGCACACCTCTGGGAAAAATGATCATTCAGGCGGGGTATATGGTGGTCAAGGACACGATGCGGAGACCCAAAGTCCCCTTCATGAATACGCCACTGCGCTAGCCGCACACACGGGATACTGAGTGACGCGACATCGGCTATGGCAATCGTGACTGATCGCTTTTGTGTACCTGGTATAATTAAATTCTTCTTTTTAGATTGTCAACTTTGATGTGTGTCCGTTTTGTATACCAAAGGCAATAACATGCTATCCGTTCGATATTACATATACGCAGAAATAATACGGTGTATTCTATACACCGTCATAAATATAGTTTATTTCATTTAATACGCGATACAAGCTCAATACAGAAGATAATTGTTTGCTCATATTGTATATGAAAAGTTATTGATAAAGCATGGTAAATGTGTAAACTGTTCATAAATAAGAATTTATGCAAAGTTAATAGAGCCTTTCGGTAATTTGGCGTTCGCTTAATAATCATCGAAAAATATTGTTGTGATCAAAAATTGTTTTTATTGTGTATATCTCTGTAATTGTTTTTATATTTATCGGAAACTAGTAACATTTTAATCGAACATTTGTATTTATTTGAAAACTCTTATTAAAAGCCCGGGAAAAAACTAAATATGTAGGTTGTCCACAAATTATACTTACTCAATTTGCGAGAAATTCTATACTTTGCCTAATAGTCAAAATTTTGATTTAAAAACCAATATAATACGATTATTTGAGAAATATAGTGCTAAATATGTGAAAAAATATAATAAAATATTTGTATTGTAATCTTAATTACAATATTCCCATTAATATATTGGACATATTCGAAAAATATTAACAATATTATTAACATGTATCTTTATGTTTTTATAAATTAATGTTATACATGGAAATGTTATATCGAAAGTGTTACATATAAAAATACATTTTATTGTAGAATGTGTTTAAAAAGTTTAAAAATATATATATATATATATAATACTATATAACAAGCGTTTAAACTTATTAAATAACCGATGAATAATTGAGATATGATTATAAAAGAGTATAATGCGTTATAAGAATTCTTGAAAGTAAAATATAATATTAGTGTAATAAATATATATATGATTCAATTATTTTAAAGTTATGCATAAATTATCCGTTACATTCTCGTGGAGACATGACATTTATATATTATAAAAACATCGAAATCGGTACTACGAGATAGCACCTTATTGGCAATGATTAATATTGGAAAGCTGTGGTAAAAGTTTGCGCTCAATATAGAGATATAATGACGAGGATCGCGCTCTGTACTAATGAAAATAAACTGCGCATAACGGGAGCACGAGTAATAATTTCTGATGCTCTCAAGTGCTAGGAGATTCCGATTGCCGCTAATCTCGTGGATTACCGAGTAACGGTGGTTGTAGCGCAAGGTCGATCGCCAGCGAAATGAAAATCCAGGTCACAGGATTGAATTATCTATTGAATATTACAGACCCGTAGGGGCTACGGATTAAAAGTACGTGTCTCAGCGGCGCCATTATAAAATAAACGTGAAAAAAATTTGCGCTTCTTTTAACATGTTTTAACGGAGCGTTAAAAAGCTCATTTAAAACTTCGTAGCGCATAACTAAATATCTCTCGCAGCATCCTACCTAATTCCATTTTACATGCGAGGAATATTTTTTTCAAAGATGCGTAAAAAGAGTGTGAACGTTTTGTTTATGAAAAAGATATGAGATACTGGAATAGTGTCATTAAAAAAAATCATATGCGATAGATATCACGAGAGAAGCGATGTTCGGTAAAAACATTTTCAACGTAACAATTTTTAGAGAAACGAGCTAATAAAAAAAATTAATAAAAAATGTAGCAGCGCAAACTATATATGGCAAAATAAAAACACATGACTTATAGCTGAATCTTTGAAAGCAATTTTCCATAATATATTAACAAACGAGAATAGAACAAGGAAGGAAAAGCCCTTTAATTCGATTTTATGTCAAGACACGTAATTTCAAGGCTGGACACGCCATTAAACTGCATCTTGTATGTAATCTATTCGATAATCACGAAACGTCATTATCGGGAATATTTTAAGAAAAACTGTACTCTGGTCAAAGATATGATGCGATAGTGTACACGATTCACAGGGAAGATGCAAAAGAAACACGTTTTTAATCTCCGTTAACAATGGCGAAGATTCATGCTGATGAAGAGATAAGTAAGGGAAGATATAGATGGCTGAGAAAAAGAGAAAAATTAATCGTGTGACGCAAATGCTCGAAAAACATTACGTTATTAGAGTAATATCACTGTTTCCAATAAAAATTTACGACACGATTCTCACAAGATATATCGTTGCGAGTTGAGATAAATGCACGTCGATAGAGAAATATCTAATAATTTTATCACGGATCGTTCAACTCGCGTTCGCAAGTTGCACGTATCGGAGTCGTACTTTATGTACCATCTTCGCAACGTTTCAAACGATGTAAACGATCGCGATAATGACTGTGTGTATAGATATTTCGTGCTCGCAGCCTCGGGAGTCGGCCGCCCGCGGTAATTTCCGCAGCGTCGCACGAGCTATTAATTACTACTGGCATCGCGCTGATTATTCCTCCCGCTGCTGCTCGCATCCTCAACAAATCGCTTGTGATCGAACAGCCGCTACGTGAACGTCGTACACGTTACCTGGCAAAGGCGAGTTTATATGCTTTACTTCTGATGATCTCGAACAGCGTGTTCGTGAACGTCGCTTTAATCGAACATCGAATGTCGCCTCCTCACTAATGAATTTCGTACGTTCGAATATACGTCTCTTGCCGTAAAAATTTAGAAATTTAGATTACAATTTATTATTGATAGATTGATAGTTTCGTTCTTTCAAAATAAATTTATATAACAAATAGAATTAATAAAATTTAAAAAATTTATACAATTTATAGATTTTATATAGAAATAAATTTATAATAAACGATTATAATGAAGCAAATTTCTATAAAAAGGTATCACATATTGTATAATTATTCAGATGTGAATTTTTCCTACAAGACAATATCCTCACGTTTTGTCAACCAATTGGTAATCATTGCTGCGGTGCGAACAAATTAATAATTCATATTGCTGATTGGAACGTACAGTTGCTTTAATCAAGGCGCCTCGTTAACATGATGTGGCCGCTGTATCGTGGTTTTATTTGCGTATTCCCAGCATTATAATAATTAAAATGTGAATATGCATTATGCTGAACCATATTAAAGCATACGCATCTATCTATGTAAATTGTTACTCTCTAAGAAACTATTAAAACTATTCAAAAATACCTATATATCTAGACAATTTTATATTCTTAATAAACAGATTATAAAAAATCTTTATTTATAAGCTGTTTATTTAAACGAGAAAATATTTATATTTTTTAGTTTATCAATAAGTAAACTTGGTTTAAACTTGGTTTAAAAGTAATTTTTAATTGCAGACTCGATTATACACAAACTCGCGATAATGGTTGTTGAAAAATTGCAACAAGTGAAATTTCTTCATCAAATTTTCATTAAGAAAAAATTGATCAAAAGTTTGTTAAGAAATTTGTTATCTAAATAATAGCAACAACAAGAGAGAGTTGGAATTAGTTTAAAATGCTTTTCCACATACTCATACATTCTTTATGTCATGATATAAAAACTGTAGATAAACCGATTAGGTTTATATAGTAGACGATAACGTTTATGAGAGAGAAAAAGTTAACCGTCCATATATCCAATTTTATAAATCAAGTTTTGCAAGTCGGGAGAACAAACTTCGCACTTGTGCTTTTACTTTGATTGCCAGACGTTAAGAACAATTTAGTTTCAAAACGATCAGATTTTATTTCGCGAGTATCGCATTTTTCGCGGTCGGAGAATAACTGTATCGATCTAACGGCAAATTTGCTGATAATCGCGCGAGCAAATATTTTCAGCCCGGTAATTAAATTCAATGGACAGTGGCGAATTGTTGCATAATCGCATATGTTATGATCGTAAGGACTCTAAAAATTCAGTTTTCTATTTCCAAAATTTTCATTAATTTTGGAAAACAATGTTCTTTTTGATGGTTCTTTTATTTTGAACATTTAGTACATTTTATTTTTGCGTACAAAGTTAAAAAAGCTCACAAAATTTAAAAAAGAGATTTTTAAATATATACATACACAATTTTTATTTTTTCTTAGAATCTTAATTAATATAATATAGAGTATATATATACATACGCGCGCTCGCGCACACACATACACGTGCGTTTCCATTAACAATTTTACATTAAATATTATAGAATAATTTTTAAATCTTAATTTTTTGAATCAAATTGATACAAAAAATGCTTTTTTGTAATACCATAATAAAGTACTATCGCAATAATTTGCGCAGATTATTAATTAACAAACTAGTAGAAGTATGTGTGCAATTATCGATCGGCTACATACAGGAAAATACTGAACTGATTGAGATATGAGCTCTCTCCATCCCTCCTTTCCCCAAACCCTGTCGATTTCGACGCATAGCGGTATTGGTAGATATTCGACCGATTCAACGGCAAACCTATCGATTATCTGGCCGCGTTTCTATCATTCCGTCCATTTGCGAACTGATTCGTTATAATTGTAGCGTCAAAGTGGCCGAGCCGTGCTGATGTATATGCGCGATTTCGCGCGCGTCGTGCTTGTCGTCGCGCCGGTACGTTTACGAGTTTATTTTACGAATAATCCGCCTCCCTGAGCCATCGCGCGATAAATCCTCGCTCGAGTTTTATCTCGTAATTGAATTTCCCGACGGGCGGCGGGAGTTACGTTAACGCTCGCGCGTTACGCGAAACGACAGGTTACGTTACAGGGACCGATGCTGTAACGTTGCTGTTACAAGCCTTCGCGCTGCCGCTACGCGAAAATTGACCGCGTGCGTTATTTATGCACGCTATCCAAAGCGTATTACTTTGATATTGTTTATCATGTTTATGACGCATACAGTTTATAATATAAATAGCATAGCATATTACAACCGTGAATTTTACGTGGATGTTAGTTTGTTGGTGAATCTTGTTTCAAACGGGCATTGTTTACTTTAGGAAATCGCTATTGCTTCTACAATATAAACACTAGTTATTATTACCGCTTTAGTTATTATTACCTACAAATAAAGTGCAATTTAAACGTATTATTTAGAAATGTTTCATATACAAACAAGCAGAAATGTAGAATATCAATATAGGATTCGAATTGCAAGGTATTTAATTATAATTTATAATTTTTAGAAAAATATGTAACAATTTTTTTATTGTTCTTATGATACAAATAATATCTTTTATATAAATGCATCAAAAGAAAGATAGCCTTTTACAACACATATCTGATTTTTCCTTCGATTTAATGAAAAATTAGTAGGTTGTTAAAAAAGAAAAGCACGAGTAGTACATATGTTAAAAATGAAGGGAAACGAGAGCTGTCACTCAACAGTATATGCGTTTTCCGACTCCGTCCAAAGTTTATAGTAACATTATTAAACGAATAGTCTAAAGGTAGTTTTAACGGCGAAGAAACTTCGCGCTGCCGACTGTTTTTCTAACCGTTCCGGAAGCAGCGAAGAAGTAGAGAATCCCGCGTTAATAAGCTTTATTTTTACGGAACGGCTCAGTTCGCGAGAGAGTTAAACTTTCTGCGTGGTTTTTTTTCTCTATTTAATTTGGAACACGTCAGGTGGTTAGCAGTATAACGTTCGCAAAGTAGCTAAGTGGTTCAATTGCAATGTGGCACGAAGCGCGGGACGCGCTACGGTCCACTGCCGTCGACGATTCGTGGAAAGATTTTCACGTGGACCGAGTGTGCCAAAGTGCCAAACGGAAGTGACAAATTTTCGGCGGATGGAGTATTAAAAAAAAAAAAACAAGAAGAAGAGAGAGAGAGAAAACTATTTTTCTTGCCGTCAAAAGTAACTTCCCTCGAAATGAGCAGCGTGAAAACCGAGCGTTCGCCAAACTTGCGAAACGATTGAATGGATCTAACTGAATATTTAATCTCTTGATTTGTCCGAAGGTATCGTCCCTGCATGGAAAGAAAAGCTAGAGATAGACGAACGTGACTTTTTGCCTTCTACCGTGCTCACGAAAACTGAATTTCACATGCGCGTGAGCGCGCGCATGGTTTACGGATGGTGAGCTGTGTGCGCATTTCCCATCGATGACAAAATTCTTTCTGCATATATGTCAGTATATAATATCGCACATACACACGCACACACGTATAGTGTTAATTAATATGATAAAATACATATTATTATTAGAGTTGTTTAATAAATATTCTAATTTTCGTAAAAAATTTAATCTGATTATATTTACCCTCCGTTAGTCGCAGTATTTTTCACCCAAAGTATTAGGGTGAATAAAAAAAGAAACTAAAGTGTTAGAGTATAGCTTAAAATAAATGGGGTGATGAAAATAATTTTTATTTTTAAACAATTTCTGTTTTAATTTGTCTTCACATGTTCATACACATTAGTCTTTTAATGTCATACATCAGTTATAATGTGTATCTATTATGTATGTGTATCTATTATATATTAATATAATTTATAAAATAATGATTTATAAATATTATATATATATATATAATTTATAAAATATTATATTAATACATGCGCACGCGTCAAAAAAGTTTATTCAAATAACAATGCAAAAAATGTTTAAAAGATACG